CCAAGGAAACTATCCTGAGCCTGAGGTCTCAGAAGTACTGAGTCCTAAAGTGTGTTTGACGTGTCTTAACTTGCACTGAGCTAGAGCTAGTTGTCAGTGCCACATAACCAGTTTATCAGCTGGGCTCACCTGATGTAGTCATTCTTACAGAGGATCATGCCTCCTTTGCTGTAGCAGGTGGTGCTGTACTCGCCCAACTGAGCATGGCAACAGGAGCACTTGAGGCAACGCGTGTGCCAGTACCGTTCCATGGAGAACAGCAGGAAGCGGTCTGCGATTCGACCTCCACATCCTGCGCACGACCTACCCGCTGTCCCACCACCGCTGCCCATCACTGCCGCCGTGGGCACCTCCATTCTGCTGTTCACCATAGCAACCTAAGGACATGGCAGGAGATAAAAGGAATAAGACCAAGAATCAAATATTGGGTGTTTCATTCCACAACTGAAGCATATACAGTATAGTTGCTGTCAGTGGTGTAGATGCATCTTGGTTGGTGGCTATACAGTGGACCCGCATATTCATATTTGTAGTTGTGTGAGTTGAACATTAGCAAGCAACTTATTTGTTATCCAAAATTTGTCAACTTTGTTTCTCTGGCCCGGTGCTGATATATATATTGCCTGCACTACAATGAGGAAACAAGAGTCCTGTTCACAGTAAATGCCAAAAATGACTGTAGATGAAAGATGTTCATATGATTCCCTCTAGCTGTCATATTTCTTTAACTCAAAGTAGTTTCTGTCTAGCCACAGGACAGATTTGGCCATCTGGCAGGCTCTCCATCTCTGCAGAGGAATTCTTAAGCTGGTAGTGACTGCTGGATTCTTGGTGACTTCCCTGACCACGGTCCTTCTTGACCAGTTACTCAGTTTTGTCAGACAGCCGACTGTAGGAAGAGCCGTGATGGTTCCAAACCCCTCTCATTTCACTATGACTGAGGCCACTGTACTCCTGGGAACACACAGAGCTTCAGAAATGGTTTCATACCATTGACACGATCTGTGCCTTGGACTTCATGTACTGGTGTTTGTCCTGACCTGCGGTGTGTATTGCGGCACCTTTCTAAACTATGGGCACATCCAAAGTTTTGCATTCATCAGTCTCGCTCACTTGCATGTTCTCCTTTTCTATCCATACATCCATGCATCCATCTTCGTCCATTTTATCTGAGACCGGGTTGCAGGGGCAGTAGTCCGAGCAGAGCCTCCCAGACTTCCCTCTCCCCACACACCTCCTCCAACTCCTCAGGAGGAACCCCAAGGTGTTCCCAGACCAGTCGGGAGACACAGTCTCTTCAATGTGTCCTGGGTCTGCCCCGATGCCTTCTCCCAAAGGGACATGCCCAGAATACCTCCCCAGGGAGGCGTTCAGGGGGCATCCTAAACAGCTGCCCAAGCCACCTCAACTGGTTCCACTCAATGTAGAGGAGGATCGGCTGTACTCCGAACTCCTTACAGGTGACTGAGCTCCGCACCCTATCCCTAAGGGTGCACCCGGCCACTTTCTGGAGAAAACTCATTTCTGCCACTTGTATCTGAGATCTTATTCTTTCGGTCATAATCCAAAGTTCATGGCCATAGGTGAGGGTAGATCGACCGGTAAATTGAGAGCTTCACCTTACGACTCAGCTCCTTCTTCACCACAAAGGACCGGTACAGAGACCACATTACTGTGGACGCTGCACTGATCTGTCTGTCAACCTGCCGCTCCAATTTTTCCTCACTCGTGAACAAGGCCTCGAGATACTTAAACTCCTCCACTTGAGGGAGCAACTCGCCGCCAACCCGAAAAGGGCAATACACCTTTTTCTGATTGAGAACCATGGCCTCAGATTTGGAGGTGCTAATTCTCATCCCCATTGCTTCACACTTGGCTGCAAAGCCCTCCAGTGCACGCTGTGTATCATCTTGAACTGATAAAGCCAACAAAACCATATCATCCGTAAAAAGCAGGGATGAGATTCTGCGGCCACCAAAACAGAGAGCCTCTCTTCCCTCGCTGTGCCTAGAAATTCTGTCCATAAAAATAATGAACAGAATTGGTGATAAAGGGCAGCCTTGGTGGAGTCCAACATGCACCAGAAACAGGTCTGACTTACTGCTGGCAATGCGAACCAAGCTCCTACTCTGGTCATACAGGGAACAGGCAGCCCGTAACAACGAGCCCGGCACCCCATGATCCCGAAGTACCGCCCATAGGATGCCACGAGGGACACGGTCAAATGCCTTCTCCAGATCCACAAAACACATGTAGACTGGTTGGGCAAACTCCCATGAACCCTCCAACACCCAATGAGGGTATAGAGCTGGTCCAGTGTTCCACAGCTGGGGTAAAAACCACACTGTTCCTCCTGAATCTGAGGGTCGACTACTGGCCAGATTCTCCTCTCCAGTACCCTGGCATAGACTTTCCGGGGGAGGCTAAGAAGTGTGATCCCCTATAGTTGGAACACATTCTCCAGTCCTCCTTCTTAAAAAGGGGGACCACCACTCCGGTCTGCCAGTCCAGAGGCACTGTCCCCGAACTCCACGCAATGCTGCAGAGGCGTGTCAGCCAAGACAACCCCACAACATCCATAGACTTGAGAAACTCGGGGTGGACCTAATCCAACCCACGGAGCCTTGCCACCAAGGAGTTCCTTAACTACCTCGGCAACTTCAGCCAGGGTAATAGACAAGTCCCCTCCCGAGTTCCCAGCCCTGGCTTCCTTTACGGAAAGCGTGTCGGAGGGATTGAGGAGATCTTCAAAGTACTCCTTCCACCGGCCGACGACATCCTCAGTTGTAGTCAGCAACACACCGCCTCCACTGTAAACAGTGTTGGCAGAACACTGCTTCCCCCTCCTGAGCCGCCGGACAGTTCTCCAGAATCTCTTTGAAGCCAACCGAAAGTACTTCCTCACCGAAGTACTCCCAGGCCCAAGTTTTTGCCATGGTGACTGCCAGGGCTGCATCCCGTTTGGCCTGTTGGTACCTGCCAGCTGCTTCAGGAGTCCCATGAGCCAACCGGGCCTGATAGAGCTCCTTCTTCAGCTTGACGGCATCCCTTACTTGCAGTATCCACCACCGTGTTTGGGGATTGCCGCTGTGACAGGCACCGGAGACCTTACGGCCACAGCTCCCAGCAGACGCTCTGACAATGGCAGTGTGGAACATAGTCCATTTGGGTTTTCCTTTTCAGCTGACAAAAGATGCAAGGACAGAGGAATCAAGGAAACACATTTTAAGATCCTTAGAGCAGATATAAGAGTTTTGGCACTGAAGAACACGGTGCTGACTTCCTAAATGTAATAGCAGATCTAAATAATTTCCAACTTATTTTGGATTTTACTGTTATAGGCCTGGGGCTATTTACTTTTAGGGGTAAGAGAATGTGAACCTCAAGCAAGAAAACACACACACAGACAATATATAAGGATATTCCCATCAAGTGTTGCTGTTTCTACCCAATTTAAATTCAAGACAAACAAAAACACACTTTTTTGGGCCTTCAAATAGGCTACAGTAGCTTTTATTTCAACTCGATATGTCCCCAGATGAGGCTCTTTGAAGCTGTGCAGAATTTTGTCCCTTAAATGTTAGGGCTTCTTTGACTGGATGCAGAGGTTTGGAAATGTTGTTCATTTAATGTTTATTTCTTTATCATCTCTTTTAAACAACATGTAAACTAAACCCAAACCTATGGCAAAACAATGTCAAAATGAAACAGCTGTTGTACCTGTTGACAAAAACATTTACTCTATATCTCCTGCTCTCATTTTTCCATTACAAAACCAACATGATTTCATGCACAGCTGAGGATAATATTGCTTTTGAATCGCACTGAATACAACCACAGCAGTGTGTGGTACTCAGCAACACTGCCTCTTCAGCCATTTCCCTGATTTATAATTAGTGCCAACAACAACATAAAATAATTGCAGGGCTAGATTTCATTTTCCAGATGAGCAACAGCAGCGCAATTTGTCCTCTGGAGTGTCTAATTTCAGCAAGGGCATGTTTAGCTTTACGATGCGCCTTCCCACAAGATTATTTGAGACTGCAGCAGCTGGTCCTCTGAAGTGAAGCAGGCTGCCCTCAATACCCTCATTTTGTAGAGCAGACACCTGGCTCTAATCAGCCACAGGAACACCATGTTAAGAAGCCCAAGGCTACATTACAGCCACATACAGCCTCAGTCCTCAGTCACTGAGACCAAACCGGCCTATTAGCAAAAGCTTATTCATCAATGAGCTGATCTTCTGAATAACTGGAAAAAGTTAATTCACATATTAAACAACATCAATCTTGATGTTCATAACATTAGAGGTTGCCAGACATTTTAAGGTTTCTCACTTTTACATACAGTATGTACATGTACAGTATATACAATAGTCAAACAAACCATGGCCAAAAATATTAAATGAATTTAACATTAAGCTATAATATGGAATTTAAGGAAGCACTAGCATGAAACTCCAAATCAATCCACTCTGCTCAGCACTCGCTCTCCCTGCCCCACTATGCTCTACTATGACCTGCTACGCTCCGCCACACTCTGCCCAGCTCTTCAGATATTTATCCTTATGAAATTACAGCAAATGAGAATGCAACAAAACTTAATGATCAAGCAGAAATATCTGAAAATCTCTGATTGGTCAGAAAGGTCATTCCCACTCAGACCCTTTTGGAATCTAATATTTCTGCACTGCTGCCAGTGCTGTTCAATGAGTCTTGGTTGCAGAGGCCTGCGACAGCCCCTCTCCACTTTAAAACAAGTTTGGAATCATGTTTCTACAGCAAAAATATTTTAAAAAAGTTATAGACTGGAGCTTTAAATCAGTATCTGTCTTACAGTCAATAAAAACAAAACGTCTTTACCAGGATTGGATCACATGGACCATGAGAAATCCGGCTATTCATATTCCTGTATGTGTATTTATCAAGAAATGAAGCCAGCGCAAAGTGCCGGTGGTTAGCACTGCTGCCTCACAGCAAGAAGGTTGCGGGTTCGCTGACTTTCTGTACGGAGTTTGCATGTTCTCTCCGTGCTTGCGTGGGTTCTCTCCAGGTATTCCGGCTTCCTCCCACTGTCCAAAGACATGCAGCTTATGTTGATTGGTGTCTCTAAATTGCCCGTAGGAGTGAATATGTGCGTATGAGTGGTTGTTCATCTGCGTGTTAGCCCTGTGATGGACTGGCGACCTGTCCAGAGTGTACCCCACCTTTGCCCGATTGCTGGCTGGAATTGGCTCCCGCGACCCCATTTGGGACTGAGCGGTATAGAAGATGAATGAATAAATGATATTGAGACTAAAAGTTATGCATTAAGGGCATGGTCGCTTTGAGTGACAGGTGCAAGGGTCCCGCTATAGGTGGCTAGCCACTTGCTGTCTAGAAATCTCTTCTCGCGCTCCTCCTGTTTGCCCAATTTTGGTTTAGCTGTAGCAGACGGAGTGAAATTATCAGCACTACCTAGATGATGACAGCCAGACTGGAGCTTCAAAACCAGTGGATGACATCACAGTGGGTTTGTCCATCTTTTATATATGGTCAGTGATATTTCTAACAGCAGGTGCTTGTTTTTTGTGTGCTTCTTTATTCCCATAAGAAATATGAAAAAATTCAAAATGCCATTGACAATTATACAATCAAATTTCCAGCCATGTAATATAGGCTTACTTAACTATGTGTGTTATGCTTTACTCCATATGTTTATATCAAATTATTCATTATTTATGTTTTCAGCTTGCCTCACACAAACACCATTTCACATGGGCCCTTGACCAATACTTTTTTAAGGTTGCTGGTTGAAGTATGTCTGAAAATGTGGAAATTAAACCCCTGAAATGCACTTCATTTTTTTCAGACATGCTGAATGAGAGACTGCACTGAAATACAGAATCAAGAGGAATAGAGGCTTGCCCGCACATGATGTCACGACTTTGGTCTATATCCTCAAGCCACAGCTGTGACATCAGAATAATGGTGTATTTAGAAAATTTAACTGTTGCAATCAGGAGCAACACACTTGCTCAATTGATCCAAACTCTTCAAGCAAGCTGACTGCTGAATTTATCCAGTGAGTTCCACAAAGCTCAACATCTAACTTCACCCTGCCATGAATTTTAAGGAATAAATATAAATGGTTATTACGTAACAAGCATATAATGCTTTACTAGATTTAGGATGTCTTACAGTATGTTATCCTGTGGACCTCCCGTTCCCCCATAATCTATTACCTGTCTCCAATGCCAGATTTCTTCAGGTAGTGCATCACCTACTGTGAAATCAATTAGCAGGCCAAGTCTGCTAAGTACAGCAGCTTCCAACCCTGTGAAATAAAGTGAAAGCAATATTTGTATGGATAAAACAGCTCATGCACCAACCCGATGCCTTCTTTTACACTCATGTCCCTTGTTTCTGACTTCATCGCATTCTGGGGAAGGAAATCAAACGAAGTTTGTCAAGGAGTCACAGTGTGAACAGCGCATAGAATAACAACAAACCTCTCCTGTCCAAGAGTCAGTCCGCCTTAATCAGTTAAGTGCTACATAAGCTGTTATTACTGTTTTTCGTGGGCAAACTTGACAAACCTCATTTTCATAAGTAACAGCTGCATAATTATTTATGATTACATTTAAAAAAGTTGCTCAAATTCTTCCTGATCTAAAAAAAAAGTGAAAAAACAGTGGTTTAACCCTACTTCAGTGAATCATTCCATGTCGAACCTCTTACTCTAAACTCCACATCTATGCACATGGTCTGCCCCTTGTTTCACTTTCTCCTACAAGTGAAAACACGGGATGGAGGCAGCCACAGTGCCTGAGTTGCTCACCTTCTGGAAGTACTTAATTCCCTGCCTGCATGCATCACATTATGCACAGCGCTACAGTATAACTCCCCCTTCCCCCAACACACCAAGTTTTGCTCTGGTAAATTAAAGTACCACTTTTTGAAGACCAAAACATAACTGGTGCAAGACTCAAAATATATACGAGCCAAATGACTATCTGTAATGGGACCACTGATTAAAGCAACAGAGGTGAATAAATACCAGTCTCATATGTTGTACCCGGTACTTTTTACCATACTGACTCTGAGAGACGAGGCAGTCCAAGTAACTACAAAACAGTGCTGATTTATTCCATGAACACAGGTAAAAATTAACATTACATGCTCAAGCATCTTGCACCTCTAAACTCCTCGCAGGCAGATGTAAGATGAAAGACCCTGAGCCCACCAGGCCTATACATTATATCCCCTCGGTTGGGCTAGCCCCATACTACACAGAAACGTCAACCGAGACGTCTCAGTTGCCAGCTTTGCAGCTGGCCATGGCAGTAGTCAAAACATGAAGCAAATCAATGTGCGTGTGTGTCTGTTGATTAAGTGGTGTGTAGCTAAAAACATTCTCACAGACCTCTAGTAACATGTCGTGACTTAAACATAAGAACATATTATGGCTAAGGCTACAGTTATACACATCATAATAATAATATTAAACATCCTGTCTGCTGACAGTCATCAACTTCTCTCTCTAGTTATCCTTTACCAGATGTACCCTGTAGAAACTCATAAGCAGGCCTAAGCATTTAACAGTCTAACTAGACATCCTATCTCCACTAAACATTTCTAATACATAAAGTATCTATCCAATTTCTATCTGACTAAAAATACCTAACACATAGATAACACATAACTTAGCTGAGATCTAGTAAATGTTCATGTGATATCTTATAGAAACTGACAGCTTTTTGTCACTCCCTAAAATACACATATCCAGCAATTTGACCTACACTAACACCCATTGTTCTGTCTTTATGAAATACCTGTACCTTCCCACACAGAATGAAGTCTGGTGAATGAGCAACTACTTGTTTTCTGCCCTGTAATAAACTGACTGATGAAGCAGTCAATAAAATCAGGAGTTAATGAAGAGGAACACACTGCAACCTGGACACACTGATGAACTGCATGCAGTTTCAGGTTGACAGAGCAAATAATGTCTCATTTTCTGCAAACAATGCAACTGACCATTGAGCTTACTCTACCTAATAATTACACACATAAATAAATAATTAACTAAATAATTACAGCGTTTTCAGTTTGGGTGCATAAGGGGTTTGTTTTCCTGGATTAAGAGGGGCCAGTGTCTCAGAATGTCCTGTTTAGTTTTCTAAATGTATAAAGATTAAGATTGGAAAGATTAGCTAAATAACTTATTGGCCAACAGAAAATTTATTTGCAAAAACTTTGCTTTAGGCAATATTACTGACAATTGTATATACAGGGATGTGCAACTTTGTGAAATGACACTACTTCAACTGTATTATCCAAATCCCATTCATTCTTTCATAAAGATAAATTAATGATTTTCTGCATAACTCAACATACACACAGCTTCCATCACTTCAGGGGACATTCCAGTAACTTTCATTTACTGGAAATTTACCCTAACCTTAACCATAACCTCTACTGTACTTACCTAACCTAACCCAAACCATAACCTTAAACCAAGTCATCACTCTAAAAGTTAATGATGGGGACTTGTCTTCTGTTTCCATAAGGATGTGGAGTCCCCACAGTGTGACTCTTTAAACAGATATAAATCCCCACAACATGATATCAGGCCACACACACTCCTCATCCGAGGTATAATTATCAATTAACTGGGCTCCTACACGTGTGGGGAAAGCTATTAAGTAAGCAGACACCAGTACTACCGAAAGTAATGGTTAGACTGGCAGGGCACCGAGTTAGATTCAGTTTCCTTCTCTTGAGAGAAATATCATATTTCATTAAAGCCTTTTTAATTAACACCAAGGGCAGCAGTTCCTCTGGCAGAAGTGTTCTCCTGCAGAAATCTGCCACGGCTGCAGTCAAAGTATTACAGTGACCTTTCATTGTCGCAAACCTTTTCTGCATCCACGGAAAAAACATCAAAATTGTAAAATAAACCAGGCAGTAGTATGGCAGATATGGTAAAAAAAAAAAATCCCAATATTTAGCCTACATCTATTTCACTATGCTTTCATTTAATTCTACAACAACATTATTACATGGTCAGGTGCGGAGCATGTGGACTCAACCTCCATCTGCAGTGTTATTAAATAGCCCAACTTAAAAATAAAGATAAAACCCTTCACAATTCACACCAACCTTCTTCTTAACATACAACATAACAGGGGAAACGCCGTGTAACCGCATGTGTCTACTTACCAATAAGTTTGTCGAAAACACAAATATGGGTAATATTATGACAACATGGCTGACATGTTTTGTGGTTAATTGTATGATGCGAAAATGTAGTCTGATATTTTCCAACAATATATAAGAACGTGAACGGGCCAGAAGAAGCATGTTCGTGTATTAATAAGTACTGAAGGTACGTTTAAGTCACATGCAGCACACTCGACTCACCTTACTGCTGTGAACTTGGAGGTCGCTAGTGAACTTTCTAGTATCTTTCTCAGCTGAAGGAAAGAGGCAGATGTTGCAGTGACAGGCCGAAGTTCCTTCTTAGTTGCCACTCGCTGCTCTGCACGCGCCGATTTGTCTGCGAGGTGAAAACCTGAGAAATGTAGAGCAGCTCCTCTTCTGTTTTCCCATTTACACAACTGTAAGGTTGTGGCTGGAAACCAACATTTCACGGACAGCCAGCAGTTTTTCCAAGAAGTCCTTCTACGGTTTCTGTCATTGCTCCTGTGAAAACAACTACTCCCACGACAGAGAGCAGATGCTCAGTTTAAATGAATTTAGACTCCTCCTGTGACGCCGTGAAGGGGGCGCGGCGTCTGCCTCCTGTAGCCTACATCCATGGGGCAGCCTAAATAAAACGTATGTGTCTATGGCACCATGCACTTCTTACGCTGTGCAACAAGATAAAAGTTACTCATTTTGTTACAGGACAATTTACAACTTTACAATTCTTATTAGTATATGGGGATCTTAAGTAAATCCCTGTTATTGTTCCATGTTTGTTTGCTGTTGTAAACAGGTAAACGTTGGCGCAGACAGTCATATCAACTTCAAGATGATAATACATCAACAGCTGTGCTGCCTCTAAGTGGCATAATAATAATAATAATAATAATGCAGGTTTCATTTATAGCACATTCATATCTGAAAACAAACAGACTTTTTATGCCATGTAATGAAACTAATGTTAAAATGAACAACAAATATGGACTGATGACCCTAAAGTTTATATGCACATATTCAGATAAACTAGTTTTTTAAGGCTGTGGTGCAGTGAACCTTTTTTTAACCAGTGGGGGCTTGGAAGAGAACTGCTCTAACTACATTGCCAGTTCCCTGTCAGCACCTTAAATTATGTGGTTATTTAGTCTGGCCCAAGTGCTTCTTGTGGTTTAACTAAGTCTATATACTGAACCACAGTCATGCGGAGGTCTGTAATATGCACAGCAGAGAGTCTGGGTCAGTGCTGCTATGGGATCCAGGCTCTCAGAGGCTATCTGGTTATGTTAATTGTTTTATTAACCAGAACAAGCTTTGGTCTGTATAATAGTGTTATACCTACTGTGTTATATGCTCCAAATGCAAAAAGCTCAAGTGATTATAAAATATTAAGATGCTGTGTGGCTTAAAATGGCATGCAAATACATTTACATGCATTAGTTCAGTTAGCTATATAAGGCTGGAAGCTATACTTACATTTTTCATTTTACATGCTAGAGCTTAGCCCTGGGGGGTGGGGTGGGGGAAGGACAAAACTAAATTGAGACTGTAATCATTACTACATGCAGCAACAACAAAACTACAACACTACAAACAAAAATTTGTAGAGTGTGACCCCTGGTGGACCAACTTCTAACATGCAAGGTTAAAAGTCATACTATTGCTATAACTTGTCTATTTTGCACAATAGAGTGGGTTCGTCTTTCATATTATTTTCAGAATTTACAGCTCTGTTAGCAAAAAAGTGGTGTTTGTTTTCCAGGAAAAAAAATTGCGTGGAAAGTCATGTGCCTGTTTTGTTGTGTCTTTAGTTGGCTCTGTAGTGGTGATAGTACCAGTGATTCCAGAGGCTCCCCAACTGCATAAAAATGATCTCTTCTGACATAGTTATGTGTGCATGTTCTATTAACCTAACGTAACACATAATTATGAGACTGTGTAACTTTGACTAATGGAAATGGGCATCCACAGCCTACATTTTTCCTAAAACCAGTAGCAAATTGCATCGTCTTAAAATGAAGTGTTGCTCTTTATTCAAACTAAACACTTCGTAATATAGGCTATGTGGACCACACTGCATAGTAGTAGACTACAGTAGGTCTATATTATTTAGAAACCTTTGGGTCATGATACTACATACTCCGTTCCATAGAGGGCGACACCTATTCTATAGCTGGAGTTAGTTGCAATCAGCTAATAACCAAAAGAAGAAGGTAGGCTATAATGTTGTGATCTGAATGCGTTGATTTATTAGGGAAAACGGAACCAGTCGAGATGGATTATATCAGGAATATTGTTTTAGTCATTTCATCTTTAGTCACCAACTGGTAAATGTTAACTTCACGTTAGGAACCATCAAAACTTCCTTATTGATCTTTCAGCTACCAGAAACAACATCAACTTAACAGCTACAGCCTGTGAGTATGAAAGCTATAACATATTAGTTTGACATTAGCTAAACATCGTGTTGTTATAATGTGTTTACATGCTAGCATGTTAGCTTGTGTTTCAGTGTCGCCAGAGTGGGAGCTGTCACTGGGAAGCTAACATTATCAGCCTTGTCATTACACATTGGTTTAGCGTTGGCTATAAATTAACGCTAGTTAGATTAACGCTACATACAGCGGGATCAGTAATCATGTTGTAGCTAATAAGATAATCATAGTTAGCTCTACAGTGGTGGTTGTTAAGAGGTTGAAACTGTAAGTAGCTAAATCGGTCACCTTTTTGGCAACATTTGTAGTAGTTACGCTATGTAACACCAGCTGCTGTAACGTTATGTAGCTTACGGTAAAATCCCCTCCCCTACCCACATCCACACCCACAAGATGGACCTACGTTACCTTAATCGGGCAAATAAATGGAATGGTTAACTTGGGGCTCTAACGAGATTTTAGTTTATTGTTTAAAGAGGAAGTAGGTGGGTCCTCCCCTCGTTCTGTGAAAAAGAAAACAAACCCGTTCCAGTCGCTTTTTTATTTCCCACATTCTCAGTTTTATATGGTCCTGGTCCTGATTGTGTTAACGTTGATCCTGTATACACACGTTTGGGCAGCCTTAGGCTAATTACATATATTTGTATAAGTAACTACAACCTATGCAGCTAATAGGCATAAAATAAAGTTTTCTTCAGATATAAACTCACTGTAATTTAGGAGTAGAAAAATAAACAATAACTGTGGTATCTGCAAAGGATTTGGTGCCCCTTTACTTTTACAGTCTTAGAACTTCATTAACCCATCAATAATTGACTTGTCATCAAGTCAAGTGAATGACTGACATTAGCTGTCAACTGGTGATAAATTGTCTGTTGCCTAAAACCTTGTGGTAACATTCAGCCACTGTGGACTCCTTTAAGCCACTGATGGAGGATTTGAAAATTCAACTACAGTAACTGATGACTACAAAGGAAAGGATGCTCTAAAAATATCAAAGTGCTTCCAGCTTGACATTGCCACTGTCTGAAATATCATTATGAAATGGCAGATACGGAGGACTGTGAAAGATCTGGAAAACCAAGAAAACTTTCAGATAATAAAACAGTACATCTGCTAGGAAGGAAGGCAAAGCAAAAACCCAGACAAAGGAAGAAAACATTTTGCTAAATATCAGCAAATTCTTTCTATATGCAAATGTCCTGCAGTCAGTCAAGAATGTGAAAGTGAAAAGAGGCTGGCTTCCACAACAGGACAGTGATGTAAAGCAGACCTTAGAGCCCACCATGAAATGCTTCAAGAACCAGCCTCACCATCTCCTGAACTGAAGTTTGCTGAAGATCTGTGGGTACATCTTAAATGCTTTACATGTAAGAACTTGTGATCTCCACAGTGGAGACCACCAGTGACGACTTGTCTGAAACCAGACTTGAATCCAGGTCACCTGTGTTAAAGTCCTCCACTTTGTCATCCACCCCAAGTAGGTCCTTATCTGTTGTGGAAAAAACACTGACATTTAATCCTTGTTCTACAGGAGGGTGATTAATGAACAAGCTGTAAGGAGGCTTAAGGAGGACTTAGGGGGGCAGGACTGGGAAGCAGTTTACAGAGAGGAAGACTTAGACAAAGCATATGAACAATTTTTAAATATATTTAAGGAAGTATATGACAGGAACTGTCCTCGTAAGCAGTATAAAAACAAAAGGAATTACAGTGGGAAACCGTGGATGAGTAAGGGATTACAGAATGCATGTAAAAAGAAGAATGCGTTATATAAGGAATTCATAAAGGACAGATCAAAGAAGGCGGAAGAAAAATATAAGTAAGTCATATAAGAACAAATTAATTGAGATTTTGAGGAGATGTAAGAAACTATATTACTCTAAAGTATTAGAGGATAATAAAAATAACATGAGAGGTACTTGGAATATATTAAATAATTTGATTAGAAATAGTCCCAGCAAGAGTGACTACCCCCAATATTTTATGGATAATGACACACTGGTCAACAGAATGGAGGTTGTAGTAGATAAGTTTAACAGGTCTTTTGTGAATGTTGGTCCTAGTTTAGGAAGAAGCATTTGTACAGATGATACAGTGCCTTGCGAAAGTATTCGGCCCCCTTGAACTTTGCAACCTTTTGCCACATTTCAGGCTTCAAACATAAAGATATAAAACTATAATTTTTTTGTGAAGCATCAACAACAAGTGGGACACAATCATGAAGTGGAACGAAATGTATTGGATATTTCAAACTTTTTTAACAAATAAAAAACTGAAAAATTGGGCGTGCAAAATTATTCAGCCCCCTTAAGTTAATACTTTGTAGCG